CTTCTCCTTTACACCACCTTGTCCATCAGCACCCCTGGGTCCCTGTCAGAGAATCAAGGTACCAACTCTCTTTCTCCACCACGTACCGAAGCTATCCTTGAATAGGCAGGACAGTTTCAAAATGACTTTTCAGAGTATTCATCTATGCATATAACAGTTTTTATTACAGCTTGTGTTGATGCAAGAAGTGCTGATCTTTTGGTGTATATCTGCTGAATGGCATGATGCTGTGGGAAAGTGGTAAACGGGATGGAAATTGGACATGAAGGATACTCGAGGGGCAGCACAGATAATGTGGTGAGTTTGGTAAACTATGGCAAGAAAATATACTAGATCTCATGGTGAATAGTCCTCCAAAAACTTGAGCATCTCAAATTTATCCAAAATCAGCAAAGAATTCAGTCCATTGAGCTGTTTGGACACTCTCTGTATTAAACTGTTCTTTACCAAAGAAGAGAACTACTTTCTTTTAAGGAATGAGATCAACAGTTTAATGTTGACTGCAATCTACCCACTGATTGCAGAAAATCAAGTGACTTTGGAAAAGCAACCAAGCAAAGCTTTTCAGGAGGTAAGAGTTTATTGCCCTTAATTGCTGTAAAACTCAACTTTGCATGATAATATGGGGCCACAGTGCTGATGGTTATCTATCAACCCTTTCTGGTTCTCATTTCTGTTTCAAAAATCTAGGAAGCCAGAAGGAGGAAAACACCTAAAACTTACAGTAAAGCTACAACAGTCTCTCAGCCCCTCAATCCCTCTCTTGTCAGCAGTAATTGAGAAGCTGATGAAGTTTATATATCTCATTTTGACTACTTTGGAAACCCTGAGAAACCAAACTAAGACTGCTTTCCAAAGACTTGGAATTGGTTCGATTTCGATCTGAAACAAGACTTGCTTGAAAGGTCTTTCATCTGTCTATGGCTTTTAACAACTCAGTTCATCATGATGAGCATAAAAATGTTGCTGACTGTCAGAAAAAACCCATCTAGTTCATTAATGTCCTTTGAGGAAGGAAACTGCCATTCTTACCTGGTCTGGCCTACATGTGATTCTAAACCCACAGCAATGTGGTTGACTCTTAACTGTCCACTTGGCAATTAGAGATGGGTAAAAAATGTTGGCCTATTCCAGGAAAGCCCACATCCATGAATGAATTTAAAAAAAAGAACCCCAGTGGTTTAGGAGAATTCATGAAACTCTACTTTTTGCTTTTCAGACCAGTGGTCAATAAATTGTTTTGCTTCTGCCCTTTTTAAAGCATCACCATGGCAGCATTTTTTGCTGTCTTTTGTAATATCTAAATGTTTTTGCATTGGGATTAAAAATGGATATAGTTCTAATTCTGCATCATATCATTTGCACTAACCAGTTTTGCCATTTGTTTCTGGAAATGAGTTTTGTTTATTTTTGTCTTCATTAATAGAACCTGGTCAAAATCTCTTTTGTTCTGGATAGCGGTACCAAAAGGGAAACCAACTGCCATTTCTGTAATTGAATCAAACATTTATATTAATGGTCTGGCTCATGTAGAAGTCGAGCTTGATTACTGGTACATTCCTTTGCTTACATATTCCACTCATTTCTGCCATTTTAAAGTCCTTCAGTGTTGATGGAAAATATTTTCACCACTTCTGTATAGTCACAGGTTTCCTTTTTATGTTGACTGTATAAAGAAATTCTCTTGTACCAACATTGAGTTTTTGGATTCTACCATAAGTCCACGAAGCCAAATGAAATTTTCTATTGGTTTCTCCCTGACCAGCTGGATGACAACAGTTTGTTACTGGACCAGTTGATTTCTGACTGGCTTCTCTTTGAATGGACATGTGTTTTCTCTTGATATATTTACTCTCTTGAAATTAGTTGAAGACCTTTATTTGCTCTAAGGATGTTAGCAGGCCCAAAAGTGAACAGTGTTAATTATACATGAGTGCAGAAAAGATTTACTAGGATGCTACCTGGACTGGAAGGTTTGAGTTATAAGGAGAGGTTGGACAGGCTAGGACTCTTTTCCTTGGAGTCTAGGAGACTGAGGGGTGACTTTATAGAGGTCTATAAAACCATGAGAGGCATAAATAAGGTAGATGGCCAACAGCTTTTCCCCGGGTAGAGGAGTCTACAGAGCATAGGTTCATGGTGAGAGGAGAAAGATGTAAAAGGGTCTAGGGGGGCAATTTTTTCACATGGAGGATGGTGACTGTCTGGAATGGGCTGCCAGAGGTAATGGTCGAAGCAAATTCAATTTCATCATTTGAGAAACATTTAGATAGTTACACACTTGGGATAGCTATGGAGGATTATGGATCAAACACAGGCAAATGGGACTAGTTTAATTGTGAAAACTGCCCAGCATGGACAAGTTGGGCTGAAGGGCCTGTTTCCATGCCGTAGTCCTCTATGACTCTAGGATGTATATATTCTCAATTCACTTACTCTTTATGTTGAAGGGTGACTTGTAGTGTCAATAATCTTCATCAATAATCTTAACAGTTATGTCACTTGGATCATATAGTATCAACTCTGTAAGCTGTAACCTCAGTTGCTTCAGTCATGGGTACTTGACTAGTTAACATTCACCAAAGAAGACACAACAGCAGTGCGGCCTCAGAATATTTCACAGATCCAATTATTTCAGGATGGGAGGGTAAGAAAATTACCACAGTAAACAAAAAGGGTATAAAGGAATATGAGAACAGGAGTGGATCCATGGGACTAAGAACATTGATATTCGTCCTTCACATGGACAATGTGGACTGACTGGTCTGAATGGTCTGTATTTATATAGTAATATCTATGTAGGAAGGATATTCATTGTGATCGATGCATCTGCCTCATGGAAAAGCCAACTTGTGCCATTTAATAATTCCAGACAGCAAGGTGAAAAGAAAATTCAGATTAGAACATGGTGCCAAGTTTACAATGTAGCATACAATAGAAAATGACGTAAGGTTGCTGCCGTTTTCAAGTTTGTCTCAAGAAAATGACGAACATGTCGCTGAAATGTAGATATATTCTTGAAGGTTTCTTTAACTCTACCATCAGCAAGTTATAGTGAAACCATAATGAAAGATTACTTTTTATTATTATAAAGCACCACTACAAGAAACGTTGCTGGTTGCAATAATTCATCACAGAACAGAATCTACACTTGATTTTTTAACGAATGCCATGAATACAGAAATCGGAAAAGGCTGTTCATGGAATACGTTTATTTCTTTGCCCCATGTGTTTGATTAAAGGCTGTGGTTCGGGTGGGGAACTAGTTGTTGCGGGTATCACCAATTGTTGCATTAATCCACTCATGGTACGGACGTGCTTGATTGCCATATAATGTAAATTACATAATGAGCTTTTCTACTTAAAAGGATAAATGTGTATTTTAGTAATTCAGTGGCTGATCAGTTACAACTTGTGAAATGACTGTGAACTAAGTGCTCACATGCTTTTAGTAAGTATAAAAGCATCAATAGGCAAAAAATAAGATAAACGGAACAATTAAAAATATTTCAAGCAATATATTATATATGTAAACATTCACAAATCTTTGAGGTCACCAAGCCAACTTTATCAATAAGAATACATATTGTCATTTGTTGTCAGCAGCTTTCACATTGAGAGCACCCTCTATCTCACAAGCTACTTTCTTGAGCATTCCACTGTCTCTGAGTTGTCATGCTGTTCGTCTGATACTCTGAAACTTTCTCCAATTAAATATTCAGATGATAAAAGCCATTATCTTCAGTGCCTCATACATGCCCTGTTCCCTATTAACTAATTTTATTCCTTTTCCTGACCACTGTCTGAAGATGAACCAGACATTTCTTAATTTGGAGATCCATTTGACAATGAGCTGAATTTCCAAACCTATATGGTCTTTATCACCAAGGACACTTACTTCCGCCTTTCTGACATTTCCAATCTCCTCCTTTCTCCCAGCTAATTTCCTGAAAAATGTCTTCCATTTTTATGCCACCTCTAGATAGAGTATTCCAAATGTACAATGCATTCTTGGCTGCATCCTCCACAAATTTGAGCTTATTCAAAACTCTGCTGCCAACAGCCTACCTCTCGCAACTCTTTACACCATCATTGCTGTGTTCACTGACCTACATTAACTCTCACCCTACCTCCAATAACTTTTAAATTCTCATCATCCTAGTTTTCAACCTGACCATGTTTTAATTCCTTTCTATATCTTTAGCCTGTGTCAGTCCTAGAACACTACAAAATATCAGCACTGCTCCAAGTTTTGGCTTCTTGAGCATTCCCAATTTTAATCACTCAACCAGGGACATGCTGTACATTCAATTGCCAAGATTCATAGCTCTGGAATTTCCCCATAAGTCTCTCTGCCTCTTTATAACACTCACTTTCCTCCTTAAGACCTACGTCTTTGACATGTCTTAATATCTTCTTATGTGGTCTGCTGTTAAATATTCGTTTAATTCTGTGGAGTATTGGTTTACTTCACTAAAGGTGTTTTTAATGCAGGTTGCTGCTATAGTTCTTGACGAAGGGGCCAGAAGTTAGCGTATGTATCTTGTTTATTCTTCAAGGTGTATCGTGGCACATTTGCAGCATTTAGGTATCACTTCAACAAATGTTTTTCAATTATTGCATTAACTACTTTATGAAAATAGAGTAAAATTCAAGTGGTAGAAATAAATGTTGCTGCGAGGTAAGTTAATTAAGCAGTAGTAAGTGGTATGTTGGTAAGTGTAGAAAAGCACATCCTCTACTTCATTTTTTATAGTACGTTATCAGTTTTGAGGGTTTTCCCTGATGGCTGGTTTTCAATTACTATCATTAAGTTACTGTCAGGAAATCCTGCAGCATTACTGACCAAAACGATTGGTGTCTGAAACCACAGATGAGTAATGATATAGGAGGTTATTATTTATGCAGGAACATTATAATTTATAAATGATCATGAACAGAAACTTAAAGTAAAAATGCCACCAAAAGCATCATCAAACCAGGATTATCTGTGAGTGTACCTTAGATCTGTTGACCGTGGTAATAGTTTCTTTTTTCCACTGAAGTACCCTTCAAACTGTTCTATCTTCAGTCTATGAGAGTAATCAATATACCCAGAAATCTCTTGTCCATGAGAATTGTAGTCTCGGATGAAAATTATAGACTGAAATTTGAAAAAAAAAGAATTTTTTGTTTTAGAGCCTAAAATGTAGAATTAAACTGAGCAATCTTAACAAACTGTTAAATATACTTTATTCAGGAAAGGTTGTAGGAACTTCAAAATGTTATTTAATCAGTGCCCTTTGTTTATTTATGCATTTTTAATGATTTGTGAAACAGACTTAGAACAAAACAGATATTATCCAAATTATAAATGATATCATCAATTTCTTCCTAAAAGCAACAGTTTAAAATTACATGCATATTACTTAGTCAAAAATTGAGTTGACATTTGTAAGGACACTTTTTTTTCTCACCTAATTTTATGATAATTCAATGTATGGATAAACCCTGGTATATTATAAATAAAATCCTTGTTTGCCTTCAAATTGATCACTGTGGCAACTTAATAAACATCTTTGTTGAAAATTGGGGTCCCCTGAAACATGTATTAACTTAGAATTCCATATTTGATATTTCCTGGGTAGCATGAGGCCTCATTTAACTGTGTTGCATTACTGCAAATGTAAATAAATCTCTATATGACAACAAAGGAGAAGTCACAAGAATCATCAAAGTCCTGAAACAGAAACAACTACTCACCATTGTCAATGCATTATTTTGAAATAAGATGCATTTATTATTCAAAAGAATGGTAAACTAACCTACCAATGGAGATGGGCAAGGGGACAATGGTCATTTGACTATTTAGTAGCTGTCCCATGGCCACTGACCAAGAAGAGTTAGACAGGCAATTAACATATCATCGATGGCCAGCTCCTAAAATAAGTTATATTAACTGAGGCAGGAGGGGAGGAAGGGTTAAGAAGATCCAGGGTGATGAGCCACACCATCTCTTGGGGTCAGACCAAGATTTCTCCTACATCAGCCCAAGGGAAGAACAAAGACTATTAGTACCAAGACCACCAAAGTATATCAGAAACTACCACAAAAGGATACAGGACCACTGGGACGTGGGAGTGTGATGCCTCTATTCCTCCATTCCACATACATCTCCAGGATTGGTAAAGCATTCTTATCTGTGTATTTCCTTTCTTTGCCTAATTAACTATTACATCACGTCTAAACTGATGCTTTTCAATAAACCATCAGAAAATTGCTATAAATCGCTGACTGCCTATATTAGGTAACTGTGATCACAAACCCCCTAAAATCAAAAATTGGTGTCAGAGTGGGAGACTTCTCATAAGTCATGGTTTAATTAGCTTTAATTTTGAGAAGCTTGGAAGTTAGATTGTAGGTAAATGTATGTTGAGTAATTCTTAAGTAAACCAGTGGCTTTCGTGTGTGCTAAACAGCCGGTGCTACTAAGTTTGATTGTGAAAACTGGAGCAGCCGGGGCAAAAGACGTATTCGGAATGATACAAAGACATAATGATCCTATTCTTGATACTTTTTAGGGAGATTCAGAAGGGTAAGATTAAGATAAAAGAATTCCAGAATAAACTGGCCTACAACACCTATGTCTGTACCTTGCAACTGAATAGAATACAGAAGGAGTCTTGGGAACAAGCTACAAACTTACAAAAGGAAAGTGACAGCTTATATGCAGAACTAAGACAGGAGATAGAAGTGTGTAATGAGGCACGCTACAAAAATAAACAGATAGAGAAAATATAAGAACAAAACACTGAGTTACAAACAGAGAATTTGAGATTGAAAGGGGAAATGCAGGATGCAAGGGGTAATTGGACAAAAAAATGTGTTCTCCCTGAAGCAGATCACCCCTCTTGCATAGACAAAATTAAAAACTCCACTCAGCACTTTGCCAAAAGAATGCACAAATTGCTGCTTTCTCTGCTAAAAGGATGAATGACCTTGGTAGAAGCTTGGACAACCAGCATTCTTCCGCCCTGCCTCTCTTGAACAGCAGGCGTGAGTGACTGAGTGTTGTCACAAGTGTCAAGGTGAAATTTGAGCAAGAGGTAGATGAGGAGGGAACCTCTACTGTGGTTAAAGGAGAGTTCACAACCATACCTTGACTCTTGTCACCAGCTGAAGTGAGGACTTTGAGGGAAGAACTGGGTATTACAATAGATGTAAGATCTGATATCCTTCCCATGCCAAACTGGGAAATGTTTAGAATCTCCCACCTGAAATTAGAGGCTGATGATTTTAAACAGATTCACCTAGCTGCCTGCTCCCTAGGTTTAAAAAAGAGAACTGAGCTGAGATATTACAGCTTAGGGAATTAGAGGAGGACATAAGGAGGGCACTTGGGGAAGCAGACAATGATTTCCATTCAGTATTAGCTTGTATCAGTCACCTACTGAAAGTCCCTTTGGGTTTTCACAGAGGTTTCTTGGCTGTTATTGAAAGATGTGGTCAGAGGAGGGAGAGGACTCACAGACAGTGGTGAACCCTGACACCCCAAGTTTTAAGGGCCTCTTTCTGAAATGACTCCAGTCATCAGCCCATAGCATATTGGGTGTATACAACAGTAAAACAGTGATGTAGGATGAGTTGATCCATTATTCTAACACAACCTGGGACAGGCTGTAATAAGGCTGTGAACATAGAATATAGAACATAGAACAGTACAGCACAGTACAGGCCCTTCGGCCCACAATGTTGTGCCGACCTGTTATCCTACTAAGATCAATCTACCCTGCATACCCTACATTTTACTATCCTCCATGTGCCTATCCAAGAGTCGCTTAAAAGTCTCTAAAGTATCTGACTCCACGACCACTGCCGGCAGCGCATTCCACACACCCACCACTCTCTGTGTGAAGAACCTACCTCTGACATTTCCCCTATACCTTCCTCCAATCACCTTAAAATTATGCCCCCTCGTAATAGTTTCCACCCTGGGAAAAAGTCTCTGACTATCTACTCTATCTATGCCTCTCATCATATTGTAAACCTCTATCAAGTCACCTGTCATCCTTCTTTGCTCCAATGAAAAAAGCCCTAGCTCCCTCAACCTTTCCTCATAAGACCTGCCCTCCAGTCCAGGCAGCATCCTGGTAAATCTGCTCAGCACCCTCTCTAAAGCTTCCACATCTTTCCTGTAATGAGGTGACCAGAACTGAACACAATATTCCAAGTGTGGTCTAACCAGAGTTTTATGGACATGCAGCATAACCTCACGACTTTTAAACTCAATTCCGCTGTCAATGAAAGCCAACACACCATACGCCTTCTTTACAACCCTATCAACTTGGGTCGCAACTTTGAGGGATCTATGGATGTGGACCCCAAGATCCCTCTGTTCCTCCATACTGTCGAGAATCCTGCCATTAACCCTGTATTCTGCATTCAAATTCGAGCTTCCAGAATGAATCACTTCACACTTTTCTGGGTTGAATTCCATCTGCCACTTCTTTGCCCAGCTCTGCATTCTTTCAATGTCCCGTTGCAACCTACAACAGCCCTCCACGCTGTCCACAACTCCACCAACCTTCGTGTCATCGGCAAACTTACTAACCCACTCTTCCACTTCCTCATCCAAGTCATTTATAAAGATCACAAAGAGCAGAGGTCCCAGAACAGATCCCTGCGGAACACCACTGGTCACCGAGCTCCAGGCTGAATACTTTCCATCTACTACCACCCTCTGTCTTCTATTGGACAGCCAATTTTGTATCCAGACAGCCAAATTTCCCTGAATCCCATGCCTCGTTACTTTCTGAAAATGAAATGCTAACGTTGCACCTGCTGAGAGATCACTTGCCCTACCAGAGGTCTGGGCAAGATAAGAACACTGTATGAAGAAGAGGTATCCAAATTTGCCGTTTCTACTGCAATAGGCTGACTCACTAAGTCCTTTGAGTGACAAGGCAAATTTGATTGGGTGTGGCCTGACTAAGAGAACAAGTTCTGCGCCTGCACCCTCCACCTCGTGTACAAGTAGGCCCTGACTCAAATGAACAGCATTGAGAGAGGATAGAGGTAGCAATGGAGGCCATGAGACTGGGGAGGGAAACCCAACAGGTGACTGCAGCAGCAACCCAAATTCTCAGGTCAATAAATCAGAATCCTTTATGGCTCCAACTAGCCTCCCAGGGAGAGATGGTGTCATCTCTCCAATACAATGGCTGCGGGAGACCAGGAGTTCATACTGATGATATTGGCAGCCTTCAGCAATTAATACCAGCTGACTCCCCCATAACCATTATCCACAAGACACTGCCCAGACTCCACAAAAGGCTCACCACAAGTCTTGACAAGGTTCAATACAGAGATCCATGCCCTGGAGTTGAATATAGATGGAATTGCCAGGAAGAAAAACAGTGTCAAGTAGAAACCTGCAAACAGCAGGCATTTATATAGGCCATGTGGCCTTGAACATTCTTGGCAGAGTGTGGGCAATTCCAGCTGGTATGGGAAAAAGTGTTGAAAATACTTATCCCTCTCTCTCTGCTTTTCCAATGTAATGGGGTGAAACTGGAGTGCAACTCCACCAGGGCAAAGCTCAGACAGAGACAGAAGAGGTGAGCAACAGTCACTCTGACACAGTTAGAAAAGAAGTCACAATTTTGGATAAGTCCATGTTCTCCAGTGGGGTTAAAGAAACCCTCTGTGAAAATTGGACTGCATTCACAGACAGTTCTCATAACAGTTGCAATGAAAGCATCCCTTATATTCGACTGAGATGAGTGCTAAGATGAGGAGAAGTCAGAAAGTGTGAACAATTCAAGTCTTTCAAATCTTACTTCATTGAAAAAGTTTAAAATGTGTCTTTTCTTCAAAATACTGCAGACAGGATATATTGTGAAAAATAGCTTGGCTTGTTCTCAAAACATAGATAAACTTTCTTGGAAGACATCCAATTTAAACTCAGAATTTGGAATGAGAAAAATTTCGTTCATGTACTGGTATTGTTTTTTTGAAGGTGGTCTTAAAGAAAGCATTTTTCAAGATTTTGTTTCATAAAAATAAGCATTTTAAAAACTATTACGAAATTATCAGAAGATGTTGGCAGCTTTTTAAACATAATACATGAAATTACGACGTGACATTATGACAAATTATGACAAA